TCCGTATCTAACATAGAGAGGCAAAACCACGTGGGGAAAAAAGTCAGATCATGGTCTGGTCAGGGCTAGGCTTGGACTTACGCCTGACAACAGTGAACAAGAGGGAACTTCTTGCTTCAGCAGAAATATTCTATATCTCAGTTGTGCTGGTGGTTATGGGATTGCATGTTTGTTATTGTATATAAATTGTATCTCAAAAAATGTGACCATATCATGTAGTAAATTGTTATAAAAATGGTGAACGACATTGGCTTTAAAATAAGGTAAATGCATGTTTAGCCCTAATTCATAATGTTTGTCATAGCATGACTAACGGTGCGTTCCCTCTGGTCTGGCTTCTGAAGTGTGCCTCCTTTTATCCTCCTCTGCCGAGGGGGATGCTGCAGAAGCTTGCACATAGTAGTCATTCATATATAATTGCTAAATGATTGACACTGAGAAACAGATGTCATGTGTGAGTGGGAACACTTAGCAGCTTAATAAATACAGTAAGCTTGAAAATTGGTTATGACCACCAAATTCAAATGTTCTGTAGTCAGATACAAAATGATCTGCGTCCTCCTAAAATAATGGTGACGACTTCAACAGAGGCTAGCTGCTGCATTCCCACTTGAATATAAGTCCTAGTGGGTTGAAATCTGAATTCATTTGGTCACCAATTGTTCAAAGCTGTGTGCCAAGACGAACCCACTTGAAAACTGTGTGCTCTCGGACTTGGCTGTAAGACCAGGCCAGCTGAGGTGGGCTGGCCCGGCATCTGCTGCCTTCATTGTGCTCAATGCTGCATCCATCTGCTTTCTGTCAAAGCTGGTGCCAACAAATTACTAATCTATTAGAGAAACATGGAAATAAGATCGCACTCCTCATTCCTGGCTTTTCCTCTCATATTTTGCTTGGCTTACGTATTTGGTTTCTGTTTATCTTGGGAAGAAAGATATGCTATCAAGTGGGGGGGTCAGTTTTTGCCCCATCCACACATCTTTGAGGCTGGTGGGGAGGAGCGTCGCGTTGGTTGATGATGGCACATGCAGTTGCCACTCCTCAGGCAGCCCTGCCTGCCCTGTACTAGTCACCCTGTGTGTTCCCTTAGCATCACCTGTCTCCAGGTGACAGTACTGCTTGCGGTGCAGAAAGGTTAAATAACTCCTGAAGGTCACACTGCCAGGAAGTGTCAGCACCGGTGCTCAGACCCTGCTCCTAAAGCCTCTGTTTCATCCATTGATGCCTCAGAAGCCATTTGAAGCCTTTTGAAAATGTTTTTACCAGACACATGAGTGTAAGGAAGAAAGAAAAGAAAAGGGGGCTTTGCATTTCTCTTCTCAAATGAGGCCTCTCCATTAGAATATTTCCATGGATGTGCACTTTTGAGTCAACCCAACTGAGTGGAGAAAAATAACCTGGCTTCCCAGCCCCAGATGGGCCCCTGGAAGTACATGCACAGCCTGTGGGCGACACAGTGGCTATGCTCCAGCACCTGCCCCCCAGGACAGGGTCTCCTGCTGGGAGGCACAGCCTGATACCCCACATTGGAAGCGCAGCTCTTTGCTCTTTGGTCCCTAAGGGGGAAGAACCTGGAGTAGAGTGCAGAGTACCCAAACCTCTTCGCTGTTCCTTCCCTTATGCTCACTGAGATACAGCCTGGGCTGCCAGTTAGACCTGAAATACAGAACTGGAAGTAACAGCATTTCTCTATTCTAACTGTGAGAAGAGCCAGACAGGATCAGGAACCTTCTTTGTCTAATAAAACCACTTTAGGAGTGTAGTCTGCCATAGCTATGTCTAAATGCTTGTTTTCTACCAGATTAAAGTGTTATTTCATTTCCTTTGAAAGCAGCAGGCACATATGCTTTCACTGTAAAAGGCTTCTCACCAGTGAGTCACATATCTAAGGTTGGGGGAAGGAGGAGAGTAGCCCCAAGTCATCCATGAGTGTGTGAATTTGTTATGTGTTCAGTCCAACTATGAGTGAGCATGATTATTTTTAATAAGAGCAAGAGCCACAGAGGAGCACTGTAGTCTACTGACCTTAGCAGATAACCTGGGAGGGAGGCCATGAGGTCAGGGTGGAGGAAGGGCCCTACAGCCCAGCCCACCGGGGTGCAGAAGGTATGCATTCCACCAAGGTGGCCCTGGCCACCAGCCACGAGTTTGCATGTGACCCAGGGATGGGAGATTCCAAGACAACGTTAGCACTTTCTGTAAGGAACTTAAACCGGTGAAGTTTGTTTTCTCTAACATTTTACTTGAAAACAGTGTAAGATTGATTATTTCTGCACAGCCTGACTGCAGCGTAGTGTATTTTGGTGAGGAAGTGGTTTCAGTGTTGGGGGCTGTCCGTCACAGCCTGATGGTGCATCTGGGGCACTGGGGTCCTCCTGCCCAGGTGCCCTCTCCCCAGCCCCAGTGTCTCCCTTGAGCCTGCTGTTGCAGGCTCCTCAGCCTCCTCCTCAGCCTCCCAGATGTGCAGGCTAGAGAAGCTGCTGACTTGAACAAGGCTCATGCTGTTGCTAGCGTGGCAGTTTATTGTCATGCCCCACGGTCAGTCTATGTTGTGGCCTGCTTCAGCCTTCTCTATTTTTGAAGTAAACGTTATGGTTGGACCCCTCCTATCTGTATTAACCGGCATGACACTGCTTTGGGACTACAGGGCAGTGTTGAGGAGCGATAGATAGACTTTCTGGCCCACAAAGCCTAAAATATTTATTATCTGATCTTAGCAGAAAAAAGTATACTGGCTTGTGGTCTACACAACACTGACCTCCTCATCATTTGTGAATAATAACACATAATTCACGTGCAGCCCAAGCAGGAGGCCTGAAGGATGTACCTGGCAAGGTTGAGCACCCAGTAAGTGGAACTCTGTTGAATTCCTTGCTGATTTGTAGGGGAAGCTGCTTTATGTGTGTGAGTTGGAGAAAACCTGGTTTTATAATTGTGGTAATATTGCTCATTAAACATTCTCTTTCTTCACCCTGGGAGAGGCCAGGGTCAGATGTGATGTGCTGGGATTCGGTGCCACACTCATAGCCTCCCGCAGTCATCCCTGGGCATTTTGTACGGCTCCAGTTATTAGCCCTACAGCTATGGGACAAGTTACTTAGCACCTGTGCCTTAGGTTCTCGTGTCCAAAATGATGTTGACAGTAACATCTACTCTTGGGCCTCACAGAAATCAAGGGGTTAACACAGAGAACCTGGAACTGAGCCTGGTGCCTGGTAAATATTAAGAGTTTGCTTTTATCGTTGTTGATCTATTTCTCTTTCCATTGGGAGTCCTTGGGAAGCTCCTCATCTTCAGGGTTAAACCACATACATAGAAGCCCATGGGGGCCCTGCAATCTGTCCTTTTTACCCTGCTGCCCCCAGCTCAGCCCCCTCTGGCTCTTGGTGACTGTCTTGAGCGTTCTCTTGCCCGTGTGCAGTATTCATGGCCACCGATCCCTGGGGCTCTTCCCCTCCTTGCCCTGCTCCTGTGTAGCTGCAGTCCCCCCACCTCCTGCTCAGATTCAGATGCCTTGACTGTGTCTGGGGTTCAGTCCTGATGCCCTTCAGGTGGAGAATACCAGAGGAATGTTGTTTACAGGGTGGAGAAAGGAAGGAAGGTGAGAGCAGCCCACCTAGGGGTGCCTGTGGTCAGGAAGGCAGAACTGCTTTGTTTTGAGAAGTCTCTACCACCCCATCACAGAGGGCAGCCCAGCCCCCACTCAGACTCACTCCTGCCTCAGTCTCTCTGGTTTGACTTTGGAGTCTTTTCTCATCTTTGCCCATCCTGCTCTAACACATTTGCATGTAGATCGTGAGCTTCCCAAGTATAGGAATCCAGGGTCATTCAACTTTATGTCACATACAATGTGTGTATTGTTAGGTGGATGGGGAGAATCTTTTAGAAAGTAATAAGGACCGATTGAGAAATGCTGATCCGTATTCTACAAATAGCTCTGTCTTTTTACATTTTTTATTTCAACCATCCTTTATTGGGATGCAATGTGTTGGGTGGTGGAACCCATGGGTTCTGGAGTCTGTTTGCTTGAACTTCATTCCAGGTTACTAACTCTTGATTTCCCTCACTTGTAAACAGTGGTGTCTACATTTCATATGATTATTGGGAGAAATGAATGAATTCAGTGGGGCAAAGCCCACGCAGTGGTTCCACAGTTAACATCTGCTTCTGCTATTATTGAAGTGGTATCATGTATGCCTTTAATTTACTAGAATTTAATTTGTATACATGCAATCAGAATAGAAGGTAGGAAGAAGGAGGAAACAAAACCACTAAGAGTCGGAGCCCTTACAGCTACACTCTGCTCCCTCAGCTCCCCAGCATGGGCAGATTTGGGAGGTAAGGTTGTGGTTCCTGTTTCAGCCGCCAGCCCTGCCTGCTTCTTCTCATGTCACCATTTTGCTGTGCCCAGTGTCACACTGGTGTTTGGAATCATAAGATAATGGGACCAAAGCACAAACCAGCCACTTCATTGGGCTCCCAGGCAAAATTATAGTTAGTTGTTCCCAAAGTTGATGAAAAGCCATGTTGGACGTTGACATCACCCACCCTACGTCTTGGAGGCTAACCTGGCCCTAAGTGCACTTGCCCTACCGTAACTGTTGGCCTAGGACTGATGTGATAGAGCAGTCCCAAAGTGGCCTTCATCAGAATACTTGCAAATTCAAACAGTGATTTTGGTTACAGTTTAAGACTATTAAAGCAAAGCTTATTGCTGGTATTCCATTTTAAGATTAGCTTGCCTTTCTCCTCAACATTGCAGGGGCCTGGGGGCCAGGGGATTCTTTTGTCTTTGGGCTCACCCCTAGGACTTTGGGAATGTGCAGAGAAAGCATATTTTGAGACCGGCAGCCTCATCTACACCAACATGAAGGGCTAATGGGGATCATGATTAATACTCTATGGTGAACACATTGTTGCACAGAAAGTATTCCAGGGAGTGTTTTCACAAGTATAAGGACTAAATTAAAACCTTTAATCTGTGTTTGCTTTTTGTTTAGGTAACTACTCCAGACCCCCAACGTATAGTGGGGTGCCCAGTGCAAGCTACAGTGGCCCAGGGCCCGGTATGGGCATCAGTGCCAACAACCAGATGCATGGACAAGGGCCAAGCCAGCAATGTGGTGCTATGCCCCTGGGACGGATGCCGGCAGCTGGGATGCAGAACAGACCATTTCCTGGAAACATGAGCAGTGTGACCCCCGGCTCTCCTGGCATGTCTCAGCAGGGCGGGCCAGGCATGGGGCCGCCGATGCCCACTGTGAACCGGAAGGCACAGGAGGCCGCTGCAGCCGTGATGCAGGCTGCTGCCAACTCAGCACAAAGCAGGTAAGCCGCTGGGGCTGAGCCAGCTAGGTGCAGTGCCGACACACGACCAGGCAGCAGACACTAGAACAGCAGAACACACTTGCATTTGACGATTCTTTTTGTGTCAAATACATGCTGTACCATAAAGGTCAGAGAAGTGAGTGACCATGTTTTATGATCCACTGAGGAAGGAATCTGAGCAATAGGCTCATCAGTTCTGGAAAGTGTCTTAAAAATGTCTATTACAGTCATTGACACCAGCATACGAGATCGTGGTGCATAGTGAAATGTCTTAGTTCCATTTAAAAGAAATTTTGAGAAGGAAGCACAAAAGGCAAAATATTTAAAATCCAAATCATTGAAAAGGATGCATGCTCCCCACTTTTTTTTTTTAACCTACAATAAGAATCTTTGTAAAAAAAAACTTTGCATGTGCTGGCCTAACAGTATTTGTCTAGGATTTGTACACTTCGTATCCTTATGCTGAAAAAAATTTTTTTTTCTGGGCATAATTACATCCAAACCAAAGTGTGGTCAACAAAGCAAAGATAGTATTTCCTGAAGTTTAAGTTGATGGAGCAAGGTTTCAGCTTCTATTGCTTGCTTGGTTTTAGCCCCAGTTCTTAATATTAATTCTTATAGTAATACTTGACCTGTATAAATAACAACAGACTCAGAAATTTATGAGACAAAGATGACTGTATTGTAAAAAGCACATTAGAAGATATTTATCTCAATGTTATCTTCAGAAGAAAGAATAGAAGATTCTGAATCTTGTGAAAGGGAAATAAAAACAGAGAGAGAGAGAGAGAGAGAGAGTGTGTGTGTGTGTGTGTGTGTGTGTGTGTGTTTAAATGTGTCCCTTTGCTCCTTTTCCCCCAAAGCTGCTATTTCGAAATGATGGGGACCCCTCCAGTCCCACTGTTTGCTCCAAACAATGATACATTTCCCTTGAGGAATTAAAATGAAAATCACCTACACATTTACCCCCACCTCCATTACAGTCTCTTAAATTCCTCTGAACACCAGCACCTGCCTTGTAGCCAACATGCTCAGGCTGTGGGGATGTTTAGATAAACCTGTCTGTGAAGACTGGTTCAGCTGGTCCAACTGAAGTTCTGATTTAGGTTTAAATGAATTGTCTATTGTTGGAACTCAAAGCACAAGTTATTTTCCTTCTGTTAAGTAGGAAGTATGTGATTGCATTTGTCACGAAGCTCTGAAGGTGATCTGAGAGGATAACAGAGATTAAGGCAGAATTCTGCTAGATTAGAAAGTCTTGCTGTGTTCCCTTTCCGGGCCAGTGTGTGTGTCATCTTTAGAATTCAATGTGTCTTTATTTTCTGTTTGTAATCAGTAGACCTTTCCAAAGCCTTACCTTCACATACTGCCCATTTTAGCTCTCTGGGAGTTTAAAAGGGGGCTGCTTATTTTAGTTTTCGATTTTGCCAAAGTCAAAGCTATACTTCACATCTGTAAACAGATTAGATCTGAGAATCTTATTTTTTCCCTCCTGTGCCCTGCCCGCCTCAACATTTTTTTTTTTAAAGAAATTTGATCCAGACCCACCCAAGGCAGCTGCATGGTCCAGGGTATTCTGCCTGTTTGTCCCCTTCTGTAACCCCCTACCTACATGTGGAATAGCATGCAGACAGGGATTCAAACTTGTGCTACAGAACAAATCCAAAGAAGCTGTTCTTCTGTTCCACTTTAGGCCACCATACATTAGGTCGCCTGCTTATCCCAGCCAGTCTGGGGCTGGCGGACGCCCCATGTTTTCTTCCCAGCACCCCAACTATGGCAGCTCCCAGGCTCCCATGATGCACCAGGCTGACCAGTACGGGTAGGTGGCAACACACCCCGGGCTTCTGCGGGACCTGGGTGTTTTCTCCTAAACATTCAGGAACGTGCCATCTGGCTGCAGGAACGCCCAGGCCAAGAGAGTAAACGCCCTCATAGGAAAGCCACCCGGGGCAGTTCATCTGTCTGTCCTCCTGTGTTGTGTTCCTTTTGCTTTTCACTATCTGTACTGCAGCAGTTTGGGGGAAGCCTGCATGTCGCCCTCGGGTCCTGTCTGTGCATGGCTTTGGCATGCCTGCTTTCCTTCATGCCTGAGAGGGAGTGCAGAAACCTCTATCTGCGTGAAGCAGCGTAGTCACCTGCTCGGGCATCCTTTCCCCTTCACTGTCCCTGTTTTGTCTGGTTACCTGTGTTGTGCAGCACTGTCCTCCTGACTGTGATGACCACACCTGCCACCACAGTGAGATGCCGTCACCCAGAGTGGCGTGGCCCATTCAGAGGGCGTAGGAGAAGTTTCCTCACGGTGTCAGTGAGCCAGCACCTGTGCCAGAGGGTTCTGTTATTTCCTTCCAATGAGATTAGAATGTTGAAGCCACCAGGAAAATACAACCAGATAACAACACAGAATTCTCTACCTGAACAGTGTAGCCATATTTTTATCAATTTCAATACAGGAATTACATACAGCAACAAAAAGTACTTTTCTTCTTTCCTTCTATAAATCTACATACTGGCCGGTGCCTGTCGTACCAGTGACTTGCAACTTAGTGAGACCCTAACTCAAAAGAGAAAATAAGGGTTGGGGATGTGGCTCAGTGGTTAAGCACCCCTGGGTTCAATACCCAGTACCAATAAAAAAGGTAAAAAGGTATACACTCTGAGGCCCTGTCACCATTTTTAGGTTAATAAATGCCCTAAGCACACCACTGCTGAGTGAACTGTTGGCACTGTTTTGTGTATATTGATCATAAGATTATTGTATATAGACTTCAATGTGCTTGATACTTCCGGTAAAGACATACCTTTCTTTGGTTAACATAAAACAGATTTTTGTCAACTAGCTTTGTTTCAGCAGTCAACTTAGCAAACTACACTTTCACTGTTTGTTATGGGTGGATGACAGAGCTTTTTAATAGCCTTATATTCAGTCTACATTTATTTAGACATCAGGGGAAATGATCGTTTCATAACTGAGAATTATGCGTTCTGTGAACATGGTCCTAAATTTGGACCAACAAATACAGAATTCTTAATATAATCCTCAGAGTAAAATAACAGCCACAGAATGAGGCAAACATTCTCATTCTTGGGAAATTGTCTTTTCCTCTATTGTGCATTTTCCCTTGTACCTTCAAGGTCAGTTCACGAAATAGTAGGAAGATCATGGTGAGGGAGGAAGGTGTTTGTCATCAGCCTCAGACCCCAGGCTTGTCCTTCTCCTCAAAAAAGCATTGTCTACCCCCACAAACCTCATCTAGCTGGGCTTTGCCAAGCCCTGTGAAGCAACTGCAGAAAGTGAATTTAAATGGTGTGCATCACAGTAAAATCTGTTCCACTGGGGCAGAAAATCAATGTTAGCTAACCAGCAGGAGAAGATCCAATCTGGGTTTCAGCCAGTGGCATCCAGATAACTTCCTTACAATACAACACCTCCTCCTTTAAAAAATTTTTTTGAAAAAAATGTTGAATTATTCTCTGTAAATCTTACCACATACATTGGCAAAGGCTCGTCTTTGTAGCCCTGCATCTGTTGGTTTATAGTATTTACACTGTGTTTACAGTATTCTCTATCAAAAAGAAAAGAAAAGAAAGTTTGGTTTCTATTTTAAACCTGCCTTCTGTTCCTTTGCCTATTGTGCCTTTTTAAAAACAGAAACTGAATTTGAAAAAAAAAAAACTGTGTGTTCCATATTTTAGTGTTATAGGTTGGGAGATTTTCTTTTTCCATATTTAATAACATTGTGGCAAAACTTACATTGTTGGTTTTCTTTTCCTCTCTCCCCCCATTGATAACTCTGTCAGGTGAATGTTAGTTGGTCATTTGGAAGACAATTGTGAAAAAGCCAGTTTCCTTTTGGAAAGGAGGCCATGGTGCGGACCTTTCAGGGGCCCTGTATTCACGGGGTCCTCCAAAGAGCCTCTTAAGTTAGAGTCCCGAAGGCCTGGAGCCTGTGAAGAGTCTGGAAGGACGAGTTTAATGATGGAGGTGAGGAATGAGGCTGCAGTTGGATAGCTTGGTGACAAGATGAAGGATTGTGTCCGTGGTATTTTCTAGCCAGTTGAGTGTAAGGTATACAGAGAACACACAACCAACTGGTCAGAAGCCACATTATCAGTTCCTCTAAGAGTGGCACCAAGCCTGTAAAAAATCCACCTGCTACGTTGAATAAGTACATATAGCTATATTTTTTTCACCCATTGGATAAAAGAATTCTTCCTTTCACTTTTTAGAGAATGCACAATAGAAGGCGATGGATCTCGTTCAAGTGGTATCTTGATGCCCAGTCAACGTTAATGATTTATAAGTAATATCTGTACAGAACTGACAGGCTTTTGCTCAGAAGATGCATTGCTGTTTAATTAACAATCAAGCCTATAATTGTTAATGCAATGTTATTTGAGAGATTGAGAAACAGAGTTGGAAATACTATTTGATCTTACCGAAAGCCCATCCTGATAGATGTTCATAGCATCAGACAGGAAGATTCTGAGCATGGGAGAGCCATAGCCTGCCAGAAGCCTGGAAGAGCCCACAGCTACTGCCTCCTCAAATGCATTCCCAGCTCTTAAGATTTTTTGACTGACTGAATCTATGTTCTACAACCTTGATGGTTGAAGCGCACGCACACACACACGTCTACAACTAACATTCCCTGGGTTGTTTCTTGTGCTTTGCACCCCATTCCTTATTTCTAGATGGCACGCAATAGTGTTCAACAATTGGCATCTCTGCCATAAACAACTGATTGATAGAGCTGGATATTTCAGAATTAATCCAGATTTTTTTTCTTGGAAATGAGCTCCAAGCAGGAAGCATGATTTCACTGAATTTATAGAAATTCTAACAAGCCCTACATCTTTAAACTAGGGTATGTGAGTAAACAGATTTTAATTCTTCACATATGTAAACTAGAGTCAAGTCTTTGATGACATGAAAATGGAAGAGAAGTCTGGCATCAGTCTTTAGGATCTTTATTTTGTTTCATAAGAACGACTTCCAAGAAGGCACAGAGCTTCAGTTAGGGAGTGACAGACCCTGGAGCTGGAAGGCATAGGTCTGGACACTGCTCGAGCCTGTGCTCCTTGACTTTCTGGTGGAGGAAACAGACCTGTGGGTGCCCACTGAGGACCACTGAGTTTGGAGACAGGGCACAGCAGAGGTGGGCCTATGGTTCTCTTCTCCCTCTGTAATGCTGTTCCTAAACTAGATTTTTCTTTAAAAAATACAAATATACTCTCTATTATAGAGTTCTCCTTTGTGCCTAAAGGCAGCCTGCAATTAGAAAGCAAAGAATGAGCGACTGAATGGAGACCCTGCCTCATGCTCAGGGCGAGGCCAACTGCTCTTCTGCACTGAAAGGCTGCTGCACACACCCTGGCAACCCTTGAGCAGCTCAGAAGGCCGTTTGCTTCTCAGGCCGGACACCTGCAGTGGAAGTCACACACACTTGCCAGCACGTGACGGGTTTGTGCATCAGTGGTTTTCCCCATCTGATTGCCCCCGCCTACACGCCGCAGCATTTAACACTGTTGGGGCTGGCATGCAGCTGTTAAAGTAAGAATGGAGAGTCGTGGATGAGGGCATTTCCTGCTGGGTGGGGGGTAAGGGGACACCTGTGTACCCTGGGACAGGCACTGTCATCCTTTTGCTGTCCCCAGTGCAGTAACCAAACATCAGACAAAAGGAAACTCTCAGACTGCCTACATGTTAAAAATGAGCAAATAAAGGGCAAAGTCAACCAGTATAAAGTGTCATACTCTTGACTAGAAGAAGACTGCTGTTCTAACAGATACCACTAAGATGCATATGTGTACCTACATTTTAATTCTTACGTCACAACAAAAACTAGGGTCACCAAAATTAGTTTTAAAAATATTTTTGGTTTAAGTAAAATGAAAAATTGAAATTTTTAATTAATACTAATTTTTTCATTTTAGCCGATCATTAACAGAGTAAATGAACTCCACTAGGTCCTAGCCACAGGAACCCTAGGTCAGTAGCAATCCAACTGTTTAAAGTGTAGAAGCAAGTTGGGCACGGTGGTGCATGCCTGTAATCCCAGCAGCTTGGGAGGCTGAGGCAGGAGGATCACAGCCAGCCTCAGCCAAAGCGAGGTGCTAAGCAACTCAGGGAGACCTGTCTCTAAATAAAATACAATATAGAGCTGGGAATGTAACTCAGTGGTCAAGTGCCCCTGAGTTCAATCCCCCGTCCCACCGCCACGGAAAAAAAAAAAAGTGTGTAGAAGCAGCTGTACATTCTGTAAGAGGATGTGGCCAGCCGTCTCCCCTGCTCGGAAACAGCTGGATCTATTCAGAGGCGAATCCGTTGGTCTGGCTTTCAGGCACACCAAGTTGCTGCTGTGCCACATGCGCATCTCACATCCACATGCCCCCTAGCCACTGTTCATTACTGAGACTCAGTTGTCATTCATGTGCTGTGCTGCAGTATGCCAATGAGGCACTTTTTCTGTGTTATTTTCTTCTGAAACCAGTGTGACGCAGTGAATGATGGACAAGGAGCCACCGATGTGGAAATACTTTAATGGAGAGAGTACATTAAAATGTCAAAGAGAAGGGCCAAAAAACTTGCGAATGTGTCAAGCCCCAGTTACAGTGGCGTCCCTGTGCCGAAGAGCAGGGGATGATGCATTCACTGAGATCCAGCCCTTTGGATTTTGGACAACTAGGTTTTAACATAATAGCTATGATTTGAAAAGCCATGTTATTGAAAGACAAAGAAGAAAGATCTCAAAGGCTGAAATAGAGATTTTATTTCTGCAGTTAAATGTAAGGCTTGCGTTATTGTCTGAATACTATGCA